AGCTGCTCTACTCGATGCTACCGGCTCCACTTCTCAGACCTCGGCTTGTAAACGGATTTCTACCTTCTCATCTCTCAGACCTCGGCTTGTAAACGGATTTCTACCTTCTCATCTCTCAGACCCCGGCTTATAAACGGAATTCTACCTTCTCCTCTCCCAGACCTCGGCTTGTAAACGGATTTCTACCTTCTCCTCTCTCAGACCTCGGCTTGGACAAACGGACTTCCTTTCTCTCACTACTAAACTGCAGTTTGTTAAAAGAGACTCCTTCCTCTTCCTCCATTGGGTGAATTAACCCTTCCAGTGCCAGAGTGCTTCTAAGTTAAGTAAATCTTTTGTCAAGGAAAGCATGTCATATCAATTAATTATAGTATTTAATTTCTTTAAACTCCCTGTTGACAAATAAGGATTGCTGCTAAGGCTAAAACTTCATTATTAAAATTCAAGTTGGAACTAACTTGGCATTTTCCTAATTATTATTTAAAGATACAGTCCACTGATTTCACTCCAATATAATAGGAGGTGAAACTTACTGTTCCTGCCCTCAGAAAATTCTGCAGTTGAGTTCCAATTAAAGAGGTATTACACAAAAGCATCACACAATCCTAGGTTGAGAGAAGATGTATATTCAGGGGTGTCGCAGCACCCGGTACGCCAAGGGGGTGAAGGGAGGCGATGAGCTGCTAGTGAGCATTAGGATGTGATTCCTCTCGCTATGTACATATGTTGTGCCTAGATGTTATCTCTATTGGGCAATTTGTTTATGAGGTCTTTTGTCTGCTGCTGCGTTTATTTTTGAATATATAGGTATGGAAGCTGAGCAGTCGTAGGAGACACCGATGCCGGTAATCACTTGTTTGAGTGGGTATGGTTTCGAATGATACTCATGCCTTCAAGAGGCAGTTTTCGGTGGTGGGCTTGTGCGGCCCCCTCCGTCTCCGATACGGCATCCGCGTCTCCCGTAGACCGCCCAAGTAGAAGGGCTAGGGGGAGAGAAGAGAGTAGAGAGGCAAGTAAAAAAGAGAGTAGAAAAGAAAGAGAGGGAAAGGGTAGGCAGTCTGGAGGTGGATAAGCCACATAGTCTGTATCGGCCGTGGCGGCAAGGCGGGGAGGGGGACAGTAGCAGTGGGGCCAACCATCCCCCACGGGACAGACAAGTAGACCCTGGCGGGGAGAAGCAGCAGAGAGGCCCAGCCAGCGGCGAGCCAGAAGCACCAAGGGGGTCTTGTTTTTTCCAAATTTTTCCTTATAATATTCTGCGTATCAGTTCTGATTATTATATGCCTTATATGTATAGGATCCTAATTCTGTTAACACTAACCCTATAATTAGGATAACTTTACCTAACCTTCCCATAGGAAAGCATTGGATTTGCTGAGATTGTCAATTGTGATGATGGCAGCCAAAGAGGGTGGAGTCAAATGCCATCCTGGCCAATCAGCAGTGTTGCACAGTGTGAAGCTCTGCCCCAGGAAGCACCTCTAGTAGCCGTATGAGTGGCCAGTGGAGGTATCCCTAGGCTGTAATGTATACACTGCATCTTCTCTGAAAAAAACTGTTTACAGCAAAAAGCCTACATGGACAGGCTATACTCACCAGAATAACTATAATAAGCTGGTGACTACAGTGTAACTTTAAATGATGCATTGAAACAGAAACAGAAAATGTTTTACAGTGATTTAGTTTACTGTGTATCTAGCTCCCTCTATTGCTGGAAAATGGAAAATCATCATATATCATATTCAACATGCCTGCCTACCAGGCTCTTCTAACTAAAAGTTTTACCTACCTTTTTTTTAAATTTATCCCCTTAAGGATAAAACTTCTGGAATAAAAGGGAATCACAACATGTTACACATGTCATGTGTCCTTAAGGGGTTAACTAATATAATCAAACCCATTCACTATTTAAGGACCACAAACATGTATTTCGGACCCTATAGTGTTAAAAACACTATCAAGTCCCCTTGCCCCACTAAAAATAGAAAAATCGTACCTTCATTCCAGTCTGCTGCTGCTGGCTCTGCCCCTGATCTGCATCTCTGGCTGACATCATCAGAAGTGATGATCTCAGCCAATCACAATGCTTTTCCCATAGTAAAGCATTGGATTGGCTAACATTGTCAATTCTGATGTCAGCCAAGGGGGGCAGAGCCAAACACCATCCTGGCCAATCAGCATCTTCTCATAGAGGCGAATTGAATGAATACATCTCTATGATAACAGTTAAGTGTCTCCATGCAGAAGGTGAAGATACTGAATGTCAGTGTTGCGCAGTGTGACGCACTGCCCCAGGAAGCACCTGTAGTGGCCATATGAATGGCCAGTGGAGGTATTCCTAGAACGTCATGTAAACACTGCTTTTTCAATGAAAAGGCAGTGTTTACTGCAAAAAACCTACATGGACAGGCTATACTCACCAGAACAAATACAAGAAGCTGGTGACTATAGTGTCCCTTTAAATGATGCATTTAAACAGAAACAGAAACTGTTTAACAGTGATTTGGTCTACGGTGTATCTAGCTCTCTCCATTGCAGGAAAATGGAAAATCATCATATTCAGCATCTTTTCTCAGAAATCATTAATAAAAAAACAAAGTTAGATGCAAGACCCTTAGAGAGTAGTATATCTTACCCAGGAAACTAAAATCAAAGCAATGTATCAGTCCAGGCATATATAATTTAGTATAATTTATAAAAGTGTCAATTTCTATTGAAATCTGTATTTTTTACAAATGGAAAAATATAGGAGACACTACTGAAACATAAAACTGTAACATAAACAGTAGCTATAAAAGAAGTGTGAATGGCTAAAGCAGACAAGGGATGGCTTTTACAGAGCGAGGATATATTTGACAAACTGACAATTTCTTCTGAGTAATGGGATCATTCCAGAAACAATGTGGGGAGATGCCAATACCAAGGGCTGCCACCAGAAATCTTGGCGCCGCTTACACAGCTCAAAGCCTGGGCCCCTGGGTCTGCCCACAGGGATGAATAAAGTGGATGCAGTGTTTGTACATTGTACGCAATGTGTGTTGTGTATGCAATGTGTGTATAGTCGATGCAATCTCTGCAGTGCAGGAGAGATTCCAGGAGATTCCATCATCATCCTCTGGTAGGCAGCATGTCCTCTCTTTCTCTGGCGAGCCTGGGATGCGTGCCACGCCAGAACTTTTCTCTGCTAACCTGTGCCAGCACTCTGACAGCTGAGGCTTGTGAGAAAACCTGCCGGAGGTCCCCACCTTGGCTATAAAGTAAGCAGTGGCCTGGAGGTCCCAGAGGCACATTGGGAGTATGTGGCCCAGGTTCTGTACAGCTGTATTGTGCCCCACTCATGGTAGCCCTGACAATATCCATAGCGACTGCCTATCGGTAATTCTTCTTCTTGGAGTTGATGGGTCCTGTACAGTGCAATTTCTACGTGCTGTAGTTTGTTTCTCGAATGGTTCATGGACCATACGTTGCTGGGTGAATTGCCAGAGCCTCTTTCAGAATGTATGAAAAAGACAGGCCTGGACAAATATTTCTCTGTATTATCAACATTATCAGGGTTATTTACTACAGTGAGAGTTCAAAGTGAATTTTACGTTTAAGGCCAGAATTACTGATATGAAAGCATTGATGACTTAGAGAATGTTTTTAGTTTGGATATTTTGACCTTTAATTTGATATTTTAAATTCTCTCTTTAGCGAATAAGCCGGTGTCTTTGTTCTTCACAAACAAAGCTTTTTCATTAAGACGGTTCCTGTCTCAATGTGAGTTGATTCCCAGATGTTGAAGAAGTCTCACTCCTGTTCTGCTTGGAGAGTGCTTGTGCTAGTGATAGATTGTCCAGATTAACCTCCAGAAGAAATTATTCATGGACCTCTGCATGGAAATCACGGTAGATTTACTTAGCAGACTTTTTATATAGAATTACGAGGTCTATGAATAAATAGATATAAAATGTTCCAACACTGCAAGCAGCCATTAGACAAAATTATTAAAACAAAATTAAATGAACAGACTATAACAAATACAGATTTTTTTCACTTTTGGAGTTTTTCCACTAAAGGGAATTAACCCCTTAAAGGACCACTATAGTGCCAGGAAAACAAACTCGTTTTCCTGGCACTATAGTGCCCTGAGGGTGCCCTCACCCTAATGGCCCCCCTCCCGCCGGGCTGAAGTGGGAGGAAGGGGTTAAATCACTTGCCTTTCTCCAGCGCTCGGCGCTGGGGACTATCCTCCTCCTTCAGTTGTCATCAAGAGCTGCGCCCGCATTCAGCCAGTCCATAGGAAAGCATTCTAAATGCTTTCCTATGGACGCTGGCGTCTTCTCACTGTGAAAATCACAGTGAGAAGCATTGAAGCGCCTCTAGCGGCTGTCAATGAGACAGCCACTAGAGGCTGGATTAACCCATTTATAAACATAGCAGACTATGAGCTGAAGTGGTCTGGGTGCCTATAGTGGTCCTTTAACCCCTTAACGACCGAGGACGGTTCAGGAACGTCATCGGCATTTTTGCGTTGCCGACCGGTGACGGTCCTGAACAGTCCTAATGGTCCAATGTACTTACCTGATCGCCGTCGTTCACCCGGCGTCGATCGACGGTGCTCCCGGTGTGGGGAGACTGCCTGCAGCCCAGACAGTCTCCCCGCAGCGGATTAGGACCCCTGGGGCCATGTGATCGCTCAACAGAGCGATCACATGGTCACAATAGGTGTCCTAGTGTCTGCCTGCAGGGGGACTGCCTGTGCTGACAGGCAGTCTCCCTGCTAGTGTAAAATCATAAAAAATAATAAAGGTACATGTTAATAAAAAAATATAATGATATATGTGTATGTAATAACTATATATATTGTATATATATATTATTATAAAATACAAATAATAAGTAAATTGGGGGGCGGAGCCTGGCATCTAGACTGAACGGTTGTGCTGAACCTCAGCTCCCGCTTTACTCAGCATTTTCTGGGGATAATACCTCGAAAAATCGGTGCAGCCGCACACTAGAGGAAGGCTACCTTGAAGGGGACACCCGGGGAAATCGCCCGATACCACATACAAGCCTGTAACCCCCCGGGACCCAACGAGATACCCTGAGGCCTGCCGGAGATCGAGCTTCGGGGAGACGGCCGCTCCCTGGGCTGACTGACCTGGATGTAGTGCCCTCGGGGCTGACCACTTCTACCCCCCCCCCCCATCGGGACCGACGGGGGTCATCTCGGTCCGCACCAAACGACAGCAAGGGCAGCGAGAAGCTGCACTGACGGTCTGACGAACTGCAACACAAGGGCAGCCAGACTCGTGGTGCACCCAAAATGGCGGCGGCAAGCACATCAGACGAGCTGCACTGCACATCTGAAACGGACAACGAATATATAAGGCGCATAGAAGTTGCCTTTGCCCGATTCTGGCACAAACTAAATAAAAAGCTGCAAACACCTCAAGTGACCGTGCAACCCCTCACAGGTGCGAGTAAACACGACCGTGCCCATGGGGAAAAGAGAAAAATACAGCCGCACAAGCAGACAGTACACACTAAGGGGAAGAGGCGCCCCACTCCGGGCACAGCAACTGACCCCAAACCAGCAACGCAAGCACAATGCCCGCCGAGGCCGAGGGCCGTGAGGAAACCACCTCCGCAGCATCAACCACCCTGCAGGGGGAATGCCCGCCGCAGGCGGCGAAGATACACCAGCTTCACCTGCACCCGACAAGGGAATGTCTCGATCTCTCAGAGCCCTCGAGTCAGTGGTCCGAAGATGCCACCCTCCATAAAGGCCTGGGGCTGGAGGGGGACCTCGACCCACAATTACTGCACCGACTCCACATGCCTTCCTATACCCGACAACAACTGGCCACGAACAGGCATGGGATGAAGAGAACTAACAGAACTCTCTAACCTTTTCTCCTCACTGGAATTCACTGCTTAACTTTCGCCTACATGTTTGACTGCTGTTGGTAATGATTTATTGCTATGCTTAATATGTCACACGGCCCCCACACACTGCAGTCTGCTCTCCCTCATTTGCTATGTTTCCCTTACCTGATTTTGAATAGGCTCAAATAGATATTTATTTGTTGGAGCCTGGACGGTAGCCAGTCTGCTCATATAACAATGCACGTATGGCAGTTAGCAGTGGGGGGTGCCTGGGGATATAAGCACGTCAGTATTTGCAAACAGTCAATCGCTTATTATGTTATGTTAGCGTGTTCTTATTATTTGAGTTAATTTTTACACTCAGGGAACTACTGAACCTACGCAATCACCCTATACAAAACTTGCTCACTTAACCTATTACAACTAGTCATTGTTAAGCGACTTAAATTGCATATTGCCTAAACCTGTTTACAAAAGCAACGTTAAACCATAAAACATAAAAAAGAGGTACAAATATTAAGGAAATGTTAGATACCACTGTTATTGAGCCCTGTACTGTATTCTAAATGCACATTTCCCTCTCTCTATTCTGTATCCCATCTAATATGCCTCAATAAAATACAGATTGACAAAAAAAAAAAATAAGTAAATTAAATAAAACATTTTTAAAATAATAAAAATGTAGAAAAAAATTATATATCTATATGAAATTTTATTCTAACTGTATTTTGATATTAATATATATATATATATATATTTATATCAAAATACACTTAGAATTAAATTGTATATATATCTATGTATATATGAATAAATAAAAATAATACGAAATATACATATGTCCATATACAAAATTACATAAATAATTATATAAATATACACGTAGACTTCAAATATATAAATATGCATATATATTTAAATTCTACGTGCATATTTATGTAATATTTTTACATAATTAAGTAATTTTATTAATTGCAATTTGAGGGACCTGCCTGCCAACCCAAGCCGAAAGTCCAGAGAATTTAATTTGCTAGCACTGTATTTTACCCTGTAACTTTCTATGACACCCTAAAACCTGTACATGGGGGGTACCGTTTTACTCGGTAGACTTCGCTGAACACAAATATTAGTGATTCAAAACAGTAAAACATATCACAGCGATGATATTGTCAGTGAAAGTGACTTTTTTTCGCATTTTTCACACACAAACAGCACTTTTACTGATGATATAATTGTTCTGATACGTTTTACTGTTTTTAAACACTAATATTTGTGTTCAGCAAAGTCTCCCGAGTATAACAGTACCCCCCATGTACAGATTTTATAGCGTTTGTGAAAGTTACAGGGTCAAATATATGGGTCAAATATTTTTACATTGAAAATAGCCTGGTTGGTTACGTTGCCTTTGAGAGCGTATGGTAGCCCAGGAATGAGAATTACCCCCATGATGGCATACCATTTGCAAAAGAAGACAACCCAAGGTATTGCAAATGGGGTATGTCCAGTCTTTTTTAGTAGCCACTTATTTACAAACACTGGCCAAAATTAGCGTTCAATTTAGTTTTTTACTTTTTTCACACACAAACAAATATGAACGCTAACTTTGGCCAGTGTTTGCGACTAGGTGGCTACTAAAAAAGACTGATATACCCCATATTGAATACCCTGGGTTGTCTACTTTAAAAAAAAATATGTACATGTGGGGTGTTATTCAGAGATTTATGACAGATAATAGTGTTACAATGTCACTATTGATAAATTTGAAAAAATGTATGTTTTGAAAATATCCTACTTGTACCTATAGCCTTATAACTTGCAAAAAAAAGCATGTAAACAATGGGTATTTTAAAACTCAGGACAAAATTTTGAATCTATTTAGCAGTTTTTTTCATTAGCTTTTGTAGATGAGTAAAAGACTTTTCAAGTAAAAGTCAAAAAACATGTATTTTTTTAAAATTTTTCATAATTTTTTTATTTTATTTTTTATTAAATTACATGAGATTATATAAATAATGGTATGTAAAGAAAGCCTTTTTTGTCCTGAAAAAAAACAATATATAATTTGTATAGGATCAGTAAATGAGAGAGCGGAAAATTACAGCTAAACACAAACACCACAAAAGTGTAAAAAGAGGCCTGGTCGCAAATGTACAACATCGCAAAAACAGTCCAGTCCTTAAGGGGTTAAGGACTGAACCAATTGTACAAGTTGTGATCAAAACAAAACGTAAACAAAACCTTGAATTTGCGCTATGTCTGCTCAGGCATAATTCACCTCTTTCATATTATGTGCACCCACACTTATTATTTATCATTTTGTTCATGAGAAACAGGGCTCTCACGTCACATCAAATATTTGTATAGTAAACATAATTTAATATGAATAAAATATTTAAAAAATAGAAATTAAGAAATGTTATTTTTTTAGCTCTGCATGGCATTTTAACTGTGAATGTCACAATACTGTTATCTGTTACTGCAATAAAGTACACATATTTGTATTCAGTGATGATAACAGTACCCTCAATGTACAGGTTTTATGGTGTTTTGGAAAGTTACAGGGTCAAATATAGCACATTACATTTTTCAGTTTATACACAATGAAATTTGCCAGACTGGTTATGTTGCCTTTGAGACCGTATGGTACAGTGGCGTACACATGACCCATGGGGCCCCGGTGCGAAAATTGATCCGTGGGCCCCCTCTCGCTTACTCGGCGCGGGTCGGGGCCGCAACACATGGCGGCGGGCACCTGGTCGCAGGGGTTGCAGGGCTGCGACCCCGGTATGCACACACACTTAAAGGACCACTACAGACACCCAGATCACATCAGCTTAATGAAGTGGTCTGGGTGCCAGGTCCCTCTAGTTTTAACCCTGCAGGTGAAAACATAGCCGTGAAAACGGCTATGTTTCACTGAGGGTTAATCCAGCCTCTGGTGGCTGTCTCATTGACAGCTGCTAGAGGAGCTTCCGCGATTCTCACTGTGAAAATCACAGTGAGAAGACACTGAACGTCCATAGGAAAGCATTGAGTAATGCTTTCCTATGGGCGGTTTAAATGCGCGCGTGCGCCTCTTGCCACGCATTTGCATTCGGAGCTGAGGGGCGGACACTGGGGAGTCCGACGCTGGAGAAAGGTAAATGCTGAAGAGACACACACTCTCACGAACAGATGCATACACACTCACTTACAAAACATACACTTTCACTGACAAACACACACTCACTAACAGACAAACACACTCAGTAACAGACACACACTGTAACACATTCACTAGCAGACACACACCCAATAACAGACACACTCACTGACACACACACTAACACACGCACTAACACAAACACTAATACACACACTAACACACATACACTAATACACTAACACACACATACACTAACACACACACACTCATACACTAACACACATACACTAACACACATACACACACATACACACACTAACACACACACACACTAACACACACATACTAAGACACACATACACTAACACACACACACTAACACACACATATTAACACACACACACACATACTAAGACACACACACTAACACACATACATACTAACACACATACTAACACACACATACACTAACACACACACATACTAACACACACATACACACATACTAAGACACACATACACTAACACACACACACACTAACACACACACACTAACACACACACACACTAACACACACACACACTAACACACACATACACTAAACACACATACACTACACACACACACTAACACGCACACACTACACTAACACACACACTAACACACACACACACACATAACACACACTAACACACACATACACACACACACATACTAACACACACATACACTAACACATTTTTATTTTTTAAATTTAATCCCCCCAGCCTCCTTACCTTTTGGAGTGCTGGGGGGATTCCCTGGGGTCCAGTGGTGCTGCTGCTGGGCTCCTGGGCGGCAGGTCACTGGGTGGGCGGGCTGTCTGGGCGAGCGGGCGCGCGAGGGAGCACTTTCCCCTGAGTGCTTCCTCTTCAGCTCCCTCGCGCGCCGCTTAGGGATGCCGGCGCCGGAAGATGACGTCATCTTTCGGCTCCGGTATCAGTGCGGTGCGCGAGGGAGCTGAAGAGGAAGCACTGAGTGCTCCCTCGCGCGCCCTCCCGCCTGCCTGCCCGCTGTCAGCAGGGCCAGCCTCGGGGGTCCCTGGGGTGGTCGGCTCCTGGGCCCCCCAGGGGAAGAGGCTGGCCCTGTGGCTACATACCGGGTCGCAGGGGCGGCCGGGCCCCCTGGTGGGCCGGGCCCAGTCGCAGCCGCGACCCCTGCGACCCTGGTATGTACGCCACTGGTATGGTAGCCCAGGAATGAAAATTACCTATGTGATGGCATACCATTTGCAAAAGTAGACAACCCAAGGTATTATAAATGGGGTATGTCCAGTCTTTTCTAGTAGTCACTTAGTCTCAAACACTGGCCAAAGTTGGCATTCATATGTGTTTGTGTGTGTTAAAAATGCAAAAAAAAAAAAATTGAACGCTAATTTTGGCAAGTGTTTGTGACTAAGTGGCTACTAGAAAAGACTGGACATACCCCATTTGAAATACCTTGGGTTGTCTACTTTTGCAAATGGTATGCCATCATGGGGGTAATTTTCATTCCTGGGCTACCATACGGTCTCAAAGGCAACATAACCAGTCTGGCAAATTTCAATGTGAAAAAAGTAAATTCAAGCCTTATATCTGACTCAGTAACTTTTGACAACACCATAAAACCTGTACATGGGGTACTGTTATACTCGGGAGTCTTCGCTGAACACAAATATTAGTGTTTCAAAATATTAAAACATATCACCACAATTATATCGTCAGTGAAAGTATAGTTTGTGTGTGAAAAATGCAAAAAAAATTAATTTTTACTGACGATATCATCGTTGTGATATGTTTTTCTGTTTTTAAAACTAATATTTGTGTTCAGCGAAGTCTCCCGAGTAAAGCCACATGTACAGGTTTTATGGTGTCCTGGAAAGTTACAGGGTTAAATATAGGGCTTGCGAGACAAATTCTCTGGACTTTCTGCCTGGGTTGTCGGGCAGGTCCCTTAGATTGTAATTAATAAAATGACTATGTAAAAATATTATTATATTATTATATATTATATTATAAATATATTTGTAGAATTTAAATATATATGTACATATATATACATTTTTTATCATTTTTATTTATATATATATATATAGATACATATATAGATATATATAGATACATATATGTATTTATAACGTCATTCTAAATGTATTTTGAATTTAATATATATATATATATATATATATAAATCTCAAAATACAGTTAGAACAAATTAAAACTGGTATATAATTTTGTTTTTAATTTAATTTATTTAAATTTTATTTTTTTCAATTCATTTATTGATTATTGATTGATTATATATAAATTAACGTCATTCTAAGTGTATTTTAATATTAATATATAAAATTATATATATATATTAATATTAAATACACTTTTATTAATGATATATGTATGTGTATATAAAAATATATATATATATGATCTAAGTACTTTTTTATTTAATTTAAACACTGTTTTCTAACTTTTATTAACTTTAACAAACTTTTTTACAGGATTGACGGGGACAGCCTGAGAGCTCAGCCTGGGTGTCCACATGAAAAGCGTCCAGCGTCATTTAGTTGACTAAACGTTGGTTAAGCTCCGAGAAGTGCCTCTAGTGGCTGTCTGGTACATAGCCACTAGAGGTGGAGTTAGCCCTGCAAGGTAATTATTGCATTTCATCAAAAACTGCAATAATTATAATTGCAGGGTTCACGGGATTGGGACACAATAAACTGAAGTGGTCTGGGTGCCTATACCGCCCGTTTCAGGAGACTGACAAAGAATTTCGGTTAAAACGGCTGAAATTTTAAAAATCTCCAGCGCTACTCTTTTTTCCTAGTTCACTTTATTTGACTTGAAATTTAGTTTGGGGTAATTTCTCCGCAATTTCTAATTCAGTGAATAACCCCCATATGTTATATTTTCATGTGTTGGTTGTTGTGTGGTTTTGTTTGTGTTTAGCAGCAGGTTTGCTAAATGTCCCCTTTCCCTTCAGCAGGTAGACGTTTTACCGCAGCCCAGACATAAACCCCTGATAAAACCTTTGAAGTGGTAACATTGTGTCATAAGCGCCTAAAACAAAATAAAAATTCTTGCTGACTGAAGATTTTAGAACCTGGCTGACTTCATACTCAGGAATCCTCCCCATCACAGAACTCAACTAAGTACATGAAAAGGCCAAGATTTGATTGACAGCATGGCCTAGTTTAAGAAGCCCACTAAACGTTGTTTAAACACCTTTCTTGATGCCTTCCAGTAAAACTGCGAGTGATAGAAGTTAGGGTTAAAGGGTAGGCATATGGTTATCGTAAAGAAAATTAGTGGTTTGGAAAATATGCCTTTTATTCTCAGCCACATGGATATTGACGTAAAGGAACACTTCAACCACACGGTAGTGGTTATACTGCCCAGAGTGCCCTGGTGCCATAGCTTTAAAACCATTCAACTTTTTACCAGGGTTCTACCTCCTACCCCCATTGCCCCCCACCCCACCGAGCCTCAATTACAGCTAAAACCAGAAGCTCTCAGTCTGAGCGAAGTCTGGCACTGTGGGGCTTAGCTCATAGATTAAGAGCATTTAGCCAATAAGTTGGTCCTCCACTGCTATGGAACCCTAACTAAAGCTTCTAGCCAGGAGTAGAGGTGGGGAGCGATGTCTGGAGGACCCCAGGTAAGTAGGCAAACAGTTATAAAATAGTTTAATCAATGAGTATTAAATCTGCTTTTTTTATATCTATCTATATCTCTATATCTATATCTCCCCTATTTATCTATAAATACACTATTTGGTGATCAATAAAAATCACTCCTTGAACTCGTTCTTTTGCCTCTAGGGCAGCACAGCAACCCAATACTTGAAATCACAAACAAGAAATGAAGGAGATATATAGAAATGCACTTACGCTACTTTTACATGTAACAAAGTAGCTATAATGTATTATTTAAATCTCTGACATTGATACACATTATCGTTTTCTCTATATAACCAGACCCCCACACCCGGCCCATATTTATTGTCATTGTTAACTAGGGCGCAGCTTGTCCTGGCGGATGTGCTTTCTGTGCCGCAACAGGAACATTTTAAAGCATTCCGAACAACAGAGGAGCTTTTTTAATAGCATGCCAAGTGTTGAACAAAACGCGTCTGGTAAAGTATGTCCAATATCTGGAAGTGATTTCAGCTACCTTTTAATTTTTTAACTGGTGGACCTACCTAATTTAAATTGTTCCTGCCGTAGCATGGAAATGACCTCAGTCAAGACAAGCACTCCTGGCACCATAACAAATACAGCTCACTTTTGTAGTTATGGTGTTTGTACTGTTGCTTTAAAGGAACACTCCAGACACCATAACAACTTCACTGGAAGGAACTCGTTATGTTGCAGGAGGTCCCAGTGTCAAATTACCTTTGGGCATTAAACTGTCCACAAACAATTTATCTGGAGGAGCACAATGATGAAAGCACAGCCCCACACTGGACCCCAGGTAAAGGATCCACACTGAAACACAGGTAAAGGATCCACACTGGACCCCAGGGAAAGGATCCACACTGGACCCCAGGGAAAGGATTCACACTGGACTTCAGGGAAGGATTCACATTGGACCCCAGGGAAGGATTCACACTGGACTCGAGGGAAAGGCTTCACACTGGACCCCGGGAAAAGGATCCACACTGGACCCCCCCAGGGAAAGGATTCACACTGGACCCCAGCTAAGGATTCACATTGGACCCCAGGGAAGGATTCACATTGGACCCCAGGGAAGGATTCACACTGGACTCCAGGGAAAGGATTCACACTGGACCCCAGGGAAAGGATTCACACTGGACCCCGGGAAAGGATTCACACTGGATCCCAGGAAAGGATTCACACTGGACCCCAGCTAAGGATTCACATTGGACCCCAGGGAAGGATTCACATTGGACTCCAGGGAAAGGATTCACACTGGACCCCAGGGAAAGGATTCACACTGGACCCCGGGAAAGGATTCACACTGGATCCCAGGAAAGGATTCACACTGGACCTCCCCCAGGGAATGAATTCACAGTGGAACCTAGTGAAAGGATTCTCACTGGACTCCAGGGAAAGGATTCACACTGGACCCCGGGAAAGGATCCACACTGGACCCCAGGTAAAGGATCCCCACTGGACGCCAGGGAAAGGATTTACACTGGACCCCAGTGAAAGGATCCACACTGGACCCCAGGGAAAGGATTTACACTGGACCCCAGTGAAAGGATCCACACTGGATCCCAGGGAAAGGATCCACACTGGACCCCAGGGAAAGGATCCCCACTGGATCCCAGGGAAGGTTTCACACTGGACTCCAGGGAAAGGATTCACACTGGATCCCAGGGAAGGTTTCACACTGGACCCCCGGGAAAGGATTCACACTGGACTACAGGGAAAGGATCCCCACTGGACCCCAGGGAAGGTTTCACACTGGACCCCAGGGAAGGTTTCACACTGGACCCCAGGGAAAGGATCCACACTGGACTCCAGGGAAGGTTTCACACTGGACCCCAGGGAAAGGATTCACACTGGACCCCAGGGAAAGAGTTTACACTGGACCCCAGAGAAAGGATCCACACTGGACCCCGGGAAAGGATTCACACTGGACCCCAGGTAAAGGATTCACACTGGACCCCAGGGAGAGGATCCACACTGGACCCCAGGGAACTATTCACACTGGACCCCAGGGAAAGGATCCACACTGGACCTCAAGGAAAGGATCCACTCCAGCTCTTCCAAAAGTAGGGAGGCTAGGTGGATTAAAATAGAAGTAATAAAAATAATAATTTGTGAGTGTGTGTGAGAGAATGTGAATGTATGTCTATCAGTGAATGCGTCTGTCAGTATGTGTAAAATCAGTAAATGTCTAACATCACTTGTCAAATTGTGATGTCAGTGTGTCTGTCAGTGTATGTGTGTGTGTCAAACTGTCAAGAACTGAGTCTGCCAGTATGTGTCAAATCAGTGAGTGTGTGTCAGTTTTCTCTGTGTGTTCATGTGTCAGTGTGCTCTGTGGATAAATGTGTCACTTTCCTTTGTGGGTAAATGTGTGTGTTAGTGTCCTCACAGTGTATGTGTGTGTGTCAGTGTCCTCTGTGTTCATTTGCATCATTTCCATCAGCGAAGATGGTTTTCTTGTAGAAGCTTTGAATCTGAATCTCCATATAAGGAATTGGTTACTTTAGTTCTGGCTTCAGAAGTTACTAACTGCTGGATAAACAGAAACGCTGGTTCTCAGACTACATTCCTCCAGAGGTTGTACAGTGCTGACTCTATAGTGTATCTATCTCCGGGACACGTTTGTGTTCTGATTAAATATACTAAATGTTGTACCAAGTCATTTAATCACCAAAATAATAAAAAGTATCAGGCACTTAAAGGGACATTGCAGGCTGGTGTTGGTCCTCATTTTTAATACATTCTATAGATAATGCAGTAAAAATATCTCCCCTAAAATATGTAAGAATTAAAATAAAACAGGATTTTTCCACATTTGTTGTTTTGAAAATGATGTATTTTATTGCCCTAAGCAAATAATAGCTGCAATCATCTGCAAGCTTCATTAACAGGTTTGGTGCTATAAATGTGGCCATGGACGTGTGTGATTCCACTTATGATAACCGTGAGCGAGACACTGTACCAGGTGACCTCCTTGCACCATAACACAGCAGGAGCAGATCCAAATAAAAGCCTTTTCTGGTGGAAAAGCTCAGAGATGGATAAAATATCCACGACAAGTGGTGCGTTAGGTGCGACTAGATCCTGTAAAATAGCCCTTACTTGTGCTGGCGATACAGACGTAAATCATGAAATTACGCTCTCTAGTCTCAAGTCCCCCCTAGTAAATTGAAGTATGTGTCATCAACAACAACAAAAACCCATAGAACACCAGAACTGTTTCTATGATTTATTAACATACCAGTCCACCCATATGGGACGTTGGGAGGTATTAAACCAGACAGAGCTGGATTAGGAACTTCATGGGTCTGGACCTGCAAATACTGGTGCAAACCAAACTAATTAATGAATTCACAGTATGCTGATGGTGTAAACATAGACAAGGTGGAGAATGGAATCGTGATGGGACCTCTCTGAATAAATAAACTGAAAGAAACAATATGGTTTAGTATATTTAAAGGATCACTATAGTGTCAGTTAGGTCCCCCCCACCCGTTTCCCCCCCCCCTTCCGCTGGGCTGAATGGGTTAAAACCCCTTCAGCTACTTACTTTAATCCAGCGCCGGGCTCCCTCAGCGCTGGTGACCTCTCCTCCCCCTCCGACGTCGGCTCCCGATTGGAGCGTAATGCGCATGCGCGGCCAGAGCCACATGCGCATTAAAAAAGCCCATAGGAAAGCATTTCTCAATACTTTCCTATGGACGTTCTGCACGCTGGATGCAATTTTCGCATCCAGCCTCGCAGACGCGCTTCTGGCGGCTGTCAGGAAGACAGCCACTAGAGGCTGGATTGACCCTGCAATGTAAACATAGCAGTTCCTCTCAGACTGCTATGTTTACATCTGAAGGGTTAAAACCTGAGGGACCTGGCACCCAGACCACTTCATTGAGCTGAAATGGTCTGGGTGACGATAGTGGTCCTTTAATTGCTCACGAGACTCTGATTAAGTCTGGCCTAACAGATAAAATGTGTCAAGACTTTTCAACCACAAACCAAACAACTCCTTAAGCCAAGGGCCAGAGGCAGTTTTAACATATGTTTTTCGTCTGTTTTATTTCCGATAATCATTTCAATGTTTTAATTTATTATTTTATATCACAATCTTATGTACTTCACCGTATTATCTCTTGTTTATTTATCTTAAAAACATGATTATCAAAGAGCTTTTGGTATATACTCCACATTGTGTATATATTACACTGTTAGCATATTGTGAATTCCACTAATTGCTGGAATAATATATAATTGGTGTGTGTATGTATTTTTTATAAAAAAATTTTGTTTCAATTTTGTTTTTTTAAATTTGGTTGTTTCACCGGAACACAAAGGTTGTCCTTACCAACTGGCTGAACCTTTTTTGTTTTTTATTTGATAGCACATTTCGTATTACGTAGAGCAAGAATTACGTCTCAATGCACCTTGGTAGAAAAGTTTATGAGCATGTTTTACTCCTGAAAAAAATGTAATAAATCAATAATTAAGTAATGCAAAAAAAAAGATAAAGAGACAAAGTTGTAAAACCAGTGAACCCTACATGAAAAAATATAATTTTATTAGCATGCATAAACTCAGTTTGTTTGATAGTGGGTGGGGTGATCACTGAGCTATTTAACGTCTGGGAAACTCCTCAAGAATTGTTGCTCTAGGCACTTGTCTATAAGAAATGCTAAAAGATTGTAATGTGTGGGAGAAAACCTGCTCGGTCAGTTAGGACTCCCTTAGTGGATGGATTGGATAATTAACTCTAGATCTTTAATATTCAATTTTTGTGACTTGATTTGATAGAACTCTTGATTTCCTGATTTGTGTTGTGTTTCTGTACCCACTGATCTCACTGTATACTGACATAATTAAAGGAACACTATAGGGTCAGGAACACAAACATGTATTCCTGACCCTATCGTGTTAAAACCACCATCTAGCCACCCTGGTCCCCCGTTACACCCCTAAATATAGCAAAATCTTGCTTTTATTCCAGTCTTCTGCTATTGACTCTGTCCCTGATCTGCCTGCTTGGCTGATATCATCAGAAGTGATTCCCTGAGCCAATCACAATGCTTCCCCATAGGATTGGCTGAGACTGTCAAGGAGGCAGATCAGTGGCAGAGCCAGCACATGTCAAAAACAGCCCTGGCCATTTAGCATCTCCTCATTGAGATCCATTGAATCAATGCATGTCTATAAGAAACATTCAGTGTCTCCATGCAGGGGGTGGAGACACTGGATGTCAGTCAAACTGTGCAGCACTGCCCCAGGAAGCTCCTCTAGTAGCCACCTAAGGAGTGGCCAGTGGAGTTATCCCTATCCTGTAATGTAAACACTGCATTTTCTCTGAAAAGCCTGAAGGTAATAATCATACTCACCGGAACAAATACAATATGCTGTAGTTGTTCCGGTGACTATAGTGTCCCATTAATCTGTTAACGTTATTATTAAACTGCTTTACATCACTTTTATGTGTAATTCTTTTTTTTTAATGGATTTGTATTAAATCTGTTTTTATTGAGGTCAACACAATAGGTAGTTTTCCCACGCAGGGGATAAAGCGTAAACAATGCATTTGTTTTGGAAAAACATGGATAGATATGTGTACTAGTTTATCGTAGCATGTTATAGCACTGTAATGTAGTACACTTTTCATATATTTTTTACTGCAGTGGCTAAGTTCAAAATGAGGCCTCATATTTTACTACGTGGTTGAGTTGTGTTTAACTAAGCATGCGGTGAAGCTTTCAGTATATTTAACCTTATATGTAATTAAGTAAGCTTTGCCTTTCTATTGTAGGGGTGCATTTTGTGTGTGCTGTGAGTGTCAGACGTGTAGTGTGTGAGTGAGGGTGCTGTGAGTGTCAGGGGTGCAGTGTGTGTGTGTGAGGGTGCTGTGAATGTCAGGGGTGCAGTGTGTGTGCTGTGAGTGTCAGAGGTGCAGTGTGTGTTTGAGGGTGCTGTGAGTGTCAGGGGTGCTGTGTGTGTGCTGTGTGTGTCAGGGGTGCAGTGTGTGTGTGTGTGAGGGTGCTGTGAGTGTTAGAGGTGCATTTTGTTTGTGCTGTGTCAGACGTGCAGTGTGTGTGTGAGGGTGCTGTGCGTGTCAGGGGTGCAGTGTGTGTGTGTGTGAGGTTGCTGTGAGTGTCAGGGGAGCAGAAGATATATAACAAATTACAGCAGCATACCAGATAGCCTCTGAATGCCGTAAGGTGCCAATATCTTATGTGCTCGCAGAAGCCACTTGTAACGTCCTAAGGACAATTTCAATATAGGTTGTGTCACGTATCTCATTTGCATTTGGTTTGCCAGTTAGTTGATTACAATGGCAAACATGAAGCCCGTGTTCGCTGGTTTGTGCAAGTGCATTGTGTTAGCTAGTTTGTGCAAGTGTTTTGTGTTAGCTTGTTTGTGTTAGTCAGTTGTGTAGTGGCTTTGTGTCAGCTGTTTGGGTAGTTACCTTGTGTTAGTTGGTTTATGCAGTTGTTTTGTGTTCGCTGGTCGGTGTGATTGCTCTGTGCCGGCTGGTTTGTGCATGTGCTTTGTGTGAGCTGGTTTGTGCAAGTGCTTTGTGTTGGTTGGTTTTTGTGGTTGCTTAGGCATAGTAACATACAATGCAGTAATTAGGCAGGTAAATAGGCAGTATTGAAACATGAACAGCTTATGGTAGCAATTAAAAACATATCATCATGTCCTTGCTGCTAGGTCAGGTGCTCATCAATCTGTACAGTACTACCCTGCACAGTTTCAACTAGAAGGAGTATGTATACAAACTCTTTATGTTAAGTGCGTTAGTATCGCCTAGTCTATTAAAACTCTGACATGCGGGGTAACATATGCTTATAAACTAAAAATTACTAATAAGGACTGAAACAATACAGGAGCAGGGCTGTTCTGAATGTCTAAGCTTTCGCTAAAGGAGTCCCAGATGTTGTCGAGTTAGGTTGGGCCATCCACATCTGGGGCCCACGGGCACCTCCGTGACGGGGAGCCCTCTTTTGCCTTCACCCTGGGCAGACACCGGTCCGCCAGTGGGTAGATCCGTGGCGCCGTGGGCACTCGTCACTTTTACATATTTTATAGGAAGATGAAGTTTGTAAAAGACAACTTCTTCTTTGAAGCAAAACCAAAAGTACTTTGTATAAGGAGTGATGGGGCTGATGGTGGTACAAGTTCTTAGGGTCCATGCCATTTGTGTTGTGTGTGGATAATGGAGAGTCAACAGTGTTATCAATTTCATACCACTAGGTGGTGCTGCTTCTATTGTGTCAGCCCCATAAATTATTATTATTTATAAAGCGCCAACAAATTACAGACCAGTATTTGCAACATGGCGAGATGTACTGGAATAGGGGGGGGCTGAATGCCCTGCACTGCTCTCAAATGAGCTTACATTCCAGAGGTAATGGTACTGGACCATGTGGTGATTTAAAGAACATTTTCCAATTTGGATTCTTTAGTTTTTAAATTCATTTTTTGTTCCTGACATTTCCCACTTATTACAGTGTTTGCTGCTGACAATGTTTGTCTGTGAAGATTGTGTGTCTGTGTGCTTAATTTGACGGGGCATGGCTGAAATACCTGCATTCCCTAATTAGAAGGCGTATTCTTGTACTTTACCTTCTAACTAATCCTATATTCACTATAATTCTGCCACCCCCGGCCCACCATAAAAAAATTCTGCGAGATTCAGTTAGTGCTTGGGTCCAATAAAATTGCCTATTTGTTGGAATACCTTGGAGTGCCGGGATTCTTTACTACATTTATATTTGATATTTGGTCCCTTTGGTACTGGGGCTTATCCAGCCTATTGCACCCAGGATTCCAGGACAAGGGATAGTGTGCATTTCCATTACCTATAGAAGAATAAACAGACAGGTCAAGGAGAACATACATATGATAAGTGAAATAACAGAGAGAAGGTCTGGGATTTCAGAGATCAGGGTAGTCAAAACAGCGAGCTATTTAACTATAAAACACTTACAGGTACGTACGTTAAACTATAACAGGGCAAAAAGGAGTTGTCTTAAATAACTCCAGAATAGCAGCTATTGACTTGCATCAATTATGTTGGCAAAAGGTGTGCAGCCAATGTTGCTGAAGGATGTGGACTAGTGTGGTGTTAGAAAATTCCTTCAGCATCGGGGGTCAAATATAAGATCTATAGACCTCCCAATTGTCCTGCGTTCAGTGTGACAGTCCTGATTTTGGGGTCCTGTCCTGCTGTCTGGGACGGGCCACCATGCTCTGTTTCTGGACCTTAATTGCTGTGCAACAGATGTCCCTTAAAAGCACGACCAACAGGGTACCCTGGAGGTGTAGATAGGTTATTAATGTTTCTGTGATGGCATGGATTCTTTATAAACAGAGCGGTAGGGGACGGGGCCTGACAGCCAACCGAGCAGGTCACACATGGCTGGACCTCTTCAGTTTCAGCCTGAAATCTTGCTGTTTTACCCACAAAATTGTCACAATTGCACCTGAAAGCCTGCTATATTACTAAGTGAATCGTCCCCCAAGTGAATGGTGTGGACATTGTGGGTTTTGGAGGCGGTGAACTGTTCCGGACTGCCTTGTGGCCTGTCAGTAAATCTGAGGCTGAAGAGGCTGCCGATCTTCCACCGCAGCTTATTTTTCAAACACTTGGGCCCCACCCCCCAGCCAAATGGATCCACTTCTACTGGCATTCAATCAATGGTGTGCAGGATTCTGGGAAACTATCTACAATTGTTCACTAACTATATACTTGTGGCTAACAGCAAGCTGAACAAGACCGGGTCACAGGGCAGCCGAGTCCCGGCAAAGTTTCCACATCATCTCCCAAGTGCACCACGGGCGATGAAGAACAGACAGCGGAGGCCACAACTTCTGCAGTCACGCAGAAAATCTGCCACAAAGCCGCGATACCATGCTTCAGAACAGCGCTCCAGAGGGGGCCTTGTCCGCAAGACCAATCAGAGGATTCTTGCTCAGCAAGGCCTGTGACATACATTGAGACAAGCCTGGAGACCTGCTTATGAAACTGGTGGCTGCCGGCTCTATGGACTCTCGAAACATGAGCTTGGAGTGGGGTACCCCTTCGAGTTCTGATGGACTCTTGTATTTCTGGGTTGCTGGCCCTCCACTCACAGGGATTGGATGAACAGGCTTATGACGGATATGACAACAGATTCTTCACAGCTACGCATATTCTTTTGACTTCTTTTTCCATTTTAGCGATGTGATAGGCTATGCTTATAAAGAGACTGAAGCAGCAATAGCATTTGCATAGTGCGCAAACACATGGTAGTAAAAAAAATACTAAAAACATTTAAAAAAAAATTAAATGGGCCTATTCGATGGGCCTGGGCCTGGAGCTGCAGCTCCATTAGCCCTCCATGTTAATCCGGCCCTGGTCTTACCTTTTACATCCTTCTATTTATACGTGTTGATTTGATTCAGTTTGATTCGCACTAACTTTCTTCAATAACTAATTACTGAACTTAATGTATCTGGTAATAAACTTTATAGGAAATTTCAGTAAATATTATCTGGAAGAAAACAAACAAAATAAAAGCTATCAAATGGTGATGGTTATTAAAAAAAACAAAAAACATTATAACGTATTTCTGTATCAAAACATTTCTACGTGTTTACAAATATCAACATAATACATTAGGGAAAATGATACAAGGACTAAATTCTTTACTTGATGTTTCAGAAATATTGAATATATCTTTGCCTAGGAATAAACAATTGCAGTAATAGTAAACTATATTATTTATTTTATGATCTACAGTGATATACACATGCATGAAAAATTTTTTAACTATTAAAAAAGATTTTTGCTTCAAGACAGAATGTAACATGAATTTAGTCTAATTGGATTTTATGTAAGAAATTAAGTAGGAAACCATTAGGGGGCGCTAGGACCTAAAATATCCAATGTATCACTCTGTCTGCACCAAGGATCATGGTTGCAAACATTGTGGGTGGGATGCATTGCTGAGCAGGGGGCAGACCTCACATAGGTGGGTGGGGAGACAGGGGAAGTATTGCAAGGGAATGGAATAAGGTGGGAGGGGGCAATTAGGAGGGTGGGAAGTGTGGGTAGAGTGAGTGAGACTGGGACCTGGAAATAAGCCTAATCCTAAAGGGTGGAGAGTTTTAGGAAGGGAAAGACTGGAGGGAGGGGAGCTGTAAAGGAAGGAGGGAGGGATCATCGTGAGAGTGACTGAAACAAGCAAAAACTATCAAGGAGGGAACAGGATTTTCCTACATTCTGTCTAAAACTTAGTAAATCAAAGTGTTCTGCTACAAGGCGGGAGTCAACCAATCACCCCCACCTCTAGTCTCCTGCAGACCCCCCACTGTGGACTGAGCATCTGGCTGAAACATGTGAGTATCCCCTGTTATATCGGCATTGTGCATTTAAACTTAATTTATCAGCACTCGGGCTGCCCTTAATGTATTGCTGAGTATTGGCATTCTTTGGGTTAACCAAGCTGTCTTTAATGGATTGCTGAGTATTGGCACTCAGTGGGTTAACCAGGCTGCCTTTAATGGATTGCAGAGCATGGTACTCAATGGGTTAACCAGGCTGTCTTTAATGGATTGCAGAGCATGGTACTCAATGGGTTAACCAGGCTGCCTTTAATGGATTGCAGAGCATGGTACTCAATGGGTTAACCAGGCTGCCTTTAATGGATTGCAGAGCATGGTACTCAATGGGTTAACCAGGCTGCCTTTAATGGATTGCAGAGCATGGTACTCAATGGGTTAACCAGGCTGCCTTTACTGTATTGCTGAGTAATGGCACTCAATGGGTTAACCAGTATGCCTTTACTGTATTGCTGAGTAATGGCACTCAGTGGGTTACCCATACCCTCTGTGATCAGATGAGAGGCAGTGGGGGTTAGTGTGTCCACACATGTCCTTTGCACGTGTACTGTGGTTTATTCAGTGATCCACACAGCTGCTGCAGAACCTCTTTTCTGGCGGGAGTTAATAGTTACTGTTTTAAATCTTCTGTTTGAGATGATGGTTTTGTGTTAACAAGTCTAACTGGAATTGGGCTGCTGGGACAGTAAAACATACTTACTACTAGTCTATAAGCTGTCAGTCTGCTACTGTCTGTCTGTGATTACAGAAGGCTAGCTCACACCCATTGAGGGAAGGTAATAAATATTGCTGCTCTCTCTGTGTACATGAACTCTGCACACAGCTACCTGTGTGTGCAAGGTTTTCTACCACCCAGGGGGGTCTGCTCTGTGTCACCTGCATCAGATCCTGGCTCT